AATCAGCTTCTGAAGCTGATTCTGTTAGGTCTTGTCGCATTTTTAATATGAGCAAAAATTACAAAATCATTGATGGTTTAGTCCCCATACTTGGAAACAGGTTCATCATGGGGAGCCATAAGGTCTCACACCTTGTTGGCCAGATAGTAGGCATCGCCTAGTCGCCCCTCGTCATTCGGAGGTACTCACTTATCACCACCACCGCATGGAAGAAGTTGCCCAGATCGAATTCAATAGTCGTAGACGTATTTCACTTTTTTTACAACCAGTTCGCTTGAACTTCATACAATGGTTGTGGCATTTTATTCCTTTTGGTTTGAGTTTGCTTGCGAACTTGTGCTGAACTATGTACTTCGTTGCTACTTTGATTAATAAAATGTTGTGTGAATCACTTGATGTAGAGATCGGGGGTAATCCTCCTTTTCAAAAAAGAAACTTCATACAAAACAAATAGAAATATAATCCTGTCAAAAAATCGATTTGGCATAAATCCAACATATCTCTCAGGAAAGAGTTTTAGTCTAGTGATTTGAGTTAATAAGTAACTTATCATCGATGCACAAATTAAGAACCTATCGAACCGCCATGCTCAAGGATCTAAGCACGAGTAATGGAGTACATTGATACAGTCCAGAGGTCCTGTGCACAACCGTTTGGCAATCAAGCTTACAGAAAGGCTAAAGCTAGGTTCCATGATGTCGGAACCCTATAAATAAACGGCCGCTACCCTATTTGTCCTATATATAGTCACAAACAAAGGAAAGCAAATTTCGACGTGACAACTCAACCATGTAAAAAAGATAGAAACATATTGTTATCCACTATAAATGCATCATTGACATTTTAAAAAACTGTTGTGTAATGCTCATGCACCGTTAAAGCACCAATTCCGGGGGGGAAGAGCCACATTCCATCTTCTCCGAAGTAACAACGCTCACAAAATCTTGTCCGGCTAGCATTGTGAGTCTTCATATTGAAGACCTCGCCTGAGAGAAGATAAATAGCATCCTCTTCGACATCTCCACAAGGTGCGTAAACAAACTTGGAGTAGTCTGCACTGATGAAGAGTGCTCGACCGCCTCCAAGGCCATTAGCCATTGGTACCCATTTGTGTGTGTTAACATCTGCCATAAATACATCAACCTGGCGAGTGGACATGGTATAATCCGGAAGTATACGCGTGTGTGTCATCACCATGAACAGCTCCTCGATCGCATGACTGGACTAGGTGCCAACTATTGATTTCATTATTGTGGTCATAATGTGTGCAGTTTAGATAATTGTAGTTCTTTTCACCATCGTCATCATCATCTGCCATTGTTTGCTGGTCTTGATCAAAATCATCGACCACCCCATAATCAGCCCCAGTTTTCACATCCACCGCCACCTCTATCTTCTCGTCTTCCCCATCATCCTCATCATTTGCAACCACGTCAATAGCTACGCCATCTTCCTCCTCCCCCACAACATCGTCATCGTCATCGTCACTGTCTCTATCATCGTCATCAGAATCAGAAGTAGGCCACCAATCATAATCAAAGTAATCGAGTGGTTGCCGAACCACACGCCTTCCAATGGTAACCATCGGCCTCCCATCCTCATCCAACCCTAGATCAAAGGGGATGAGGTCCTCGGCCTTAGTGATGCCATAGAGTTTGTCTCCAGAGAAGGCAATGTCAACAATATAAATATATGGTTCTGCCCGTGGTTCTGGCAGCCACACACCCTTTTCGGGTAGAATCACGATGAGCGGATGGTCCTCGTTGGTGGTGATGACGGCCATGATATCATGGGTGGTGGGCCGCATCCGGAACTTGAGGATGTGGTAGGCGCGGTGGACGACCGCGTCAAGCTCGGTGAGAGACACATACTCGAGAGAGAAAATATTGTGCAAGACATAGTTGTGAAAGCAGTAAGTTTCTACTTCATCTCCCCGGACGTATAGGGCTGGAAAAAAAACGAGTAGCTCGTGACTCGGCTCGAATCGACTCGAACTCGAAGAATAACGAGCCGAGCTGAGCTTCAGTTTAAGATCGTTTACATACCAAGTTAAGCTCGGTAAAAAAATCAATGTTTTTTAGGGGTAGTAAAATACAGTCACTAAACACCTTGCGTCCCAGCACAAGGCCCAGCCGCTCAAGGCCGAGCCACCCAGGAGACTCACACGTACAAGACCACATATGCACATGCTAAATTATCAGTTAATATTTTTATCGTATTTGTAAGGTCTAATGTTCATATCTTTAATGAGCTTAACAAGCTAAACGAGTCAGCTCGCGAGTTATATGAGTCAAGCCAATCTTGAATTTAAGCTCGTTATAGTAACGAGTCGAGTCGAGCTAGCTCATTAATGAAATGAGCTTTAGCGAGTCGAGTCGAGCTGCCTCGACTCGGCTCGAATTCCACCCCTACGGACGTAGATGAGGGTCCGCTCGTAGATGCCAAGGAATAGCCACTCGTTGTCGGAGCCACAGCATCGTGCATTGTCGGGGACGAAGTCAGGGCATTCCCATCTGCTGCCATCCGTGGGAGTGATGAATTCGCCATCAGGGAAGACGATCCATGGTAGCTTGTCGCACGGCGGCGTGCCATGAACAGCACACGGCACGGGCACGGGTGCGGTCGCCTGGGTAAACGAGTTCGGCGACAACAAGGTCTAGGAGATCTGGAGGAAGGTTGGCCCACGCCGCCGCCATGAGAACAAATAGATTTTTTGATCGAAACTAGTCAATATGTACGTGCAATGCACGTTAATTTGAAAGTATAATAAATGCATGCAGATATTAAGTAGAATATTATTTGCGTGTTATTATATGATTAGCATTATATTTGGCATGAAATTAACTGCACGCTAAACATGTTGAGTGCTCGACATTGAAACAGTCTAGGTCGTTAGATTGACATGATTTGATGGCCAAGATTAATTAGATCTGGCTCTTTGAGCTTTTTTTAATAATATAGATATAGATTAGTGATGGGATTACCGAAAACGCAGGGAGACAGAGGCATGCACGTCGCCGGCTGGCAATCTCTTGTACTAGTGGTAGTTTCTTTTTTTTTTTTGCCGGATTAGGTTACTACTTACTAGTGGTAGTTTCCATTGAGAACGTCCTCCATCTAATGCATGCATGATTTGTTCACTTGCGTCTAATAGGATTGGCTGGTTGCTAAGCTCATGGGCGATAAGCTTTTTTTTATTTTAGTATAAAGCTAGCCATGATGGTCTTTCTAAAAAACTTATTATAATTCCCTTTTTCCTTCTCTGATTGGTTTTTTTGGAGGAAATCTTCTCTGATTGGCTTTAATTGAATATTACACTACACATCACGGAGAGAGATGGATTTACCAGTTATACATTCCACTGATGGAAAGGCTAAAAATCTGACGTCAAATTTTTAGGCATAGCAAATCAAATGTTTTTTATGATAAGTTGTGTTTGTCAAAAATGGCAAGTTTAGTTGACGAGTATGAGAAATCCGCCTATGTTTATTCTTTACCAGGAAATTGCCATGCTCATTGCCATGAAAAGCATTCATTGCCCAAAAAATCTAACGTTCGCTGGATATCCGGATCCACTAACAGATGATCATGATGCTTGTATGTCATACGTGCATGAAAAGGAATTCAAACACATATGTTACTGTTGAAGAGTTTCTTCTACGGAAAACAGAGTAGTCTTCAACAGACTAAAAAACAGTCGCGCGTCCACCGCCTCCTTTGTGCTCCACGTGTCCCTGTGACCCGCGCACCACTCTCTCCTTATCTCTTTGTTGATTGCTCTCGGCCAGTCATCTTTCCTTGCGAGACGGCTGAGCTCATCTCTCCCATCTGGATACATCCTTTCCCTTTCGTCCTGGTGGTGTTGATGTCGCCACTGAATCTAGGCGGCGCCACGCTCCTACCATACCACATTTCCCTTGGCCGCCCCGCGCATCGTAATGTTGCACGCCACCATCAAAGAGGATGAGGGAGAGGTGAAGGAGGGGAGGAAAGAGAAAGGGATGCGACGGCGTGCTTCTCTGGTGAGCTCGCCAGCCAATGCGACTGACGCCGGAGGTCCCTGATGGCGTCAGCTTTAGATCAACGAGTGAAGATGCTTTTTGCAACAAAGAGTGTTGTTGTAATTGCGACAAACACATCCAGAAGCCGGAGATGCTTTTTGCAACAGGCCGCGAGGCAAAGATGCTTCTGCAGTAGCAGAGGTCATGTTGCAACGAAGGTTTCCAACAACAATCTTTTTGCAATGAAGAAAATGGTTTTTTTTTTTTTGCAATGGGCCACAAGTCAGGGATGCTTCTGCAACAGAGGATTGCAACAACGAATTTGTTGCAATGATTGTACGGCCGGGTCACCAGCCGATCTAAAGAAAAGATCAGCCGGCTGACGCATCTATCTTCTTCCGAAATAGGAATTAGCAATAAAACTATATATGATTGACCGAATAACAATGAAAACAACAAACCCATCAATGGAAAAGGTGAGACGATATCCTTTAATAGTGTATGTGCCCACGTACTATGCATTCAATTTGTATTGATTCCTGTATTTCCGCGGATATGGACATTTGGCACAGAACCGCAGGCTAACAAAAACCCAAGGGGCTCGTCCGCTGGAAAAAAACAGCTTTAACCGCCACTAACTTTTTTCCAATGTGAAGAGGGAGCGGTCGTAAGTTAAGCCCAAACCCAAAAATAAGTTCTTTCTTTTAACCTTCAAAAAAAAACAAGTTCTTTCAAGCTTGGCCTTAATTTCCAAGTTTTCTTTTCTTTTTTCTGAAGGAGACTTAATTTCCAAGTTAAGCCATCTAGTACAAGCCCCAAAAGAACTGGCCCGTAATACATATAGTACGAGTTAGCAGTCCTCCGTCAGCATTTACAGATCGAAATGGTCTCTCTTTTTTAACATCAGATAGAAATGAGAATGTTCCCAAGTACCGTACCGTACCCCAAAAGGCCGCACAACCTGAAGGCAGAACATGCTGGTTCCTCCTCTGCATTATTTTATTTCAAATGGCAGCTGTACAACCGACATGAATCCAGTTATTGCATGAGTGAGATCGACATCAATTACACACATTAGGGAGTGATCCAGTCGACAACCATGTGCAGTGCTGGACTGGATCGTGGGAATCATGCTGGTGCCGGTGCTGGTGGTTTTAGTCTGTAGAGAATGCTCCCTCGCAGTACCTGGGAGCAGTAGGAAAGCAAATGACAACAAGGTTAGATGCAGTTTAAGCTCCATCATGCTATATATGCCACATGGTAATAGGAAAATACCAACTCAGGTGAAGTGCCATGGAATTACAGTAGAGGGCATGATCAGCCAGGTCAGGTAAGATATGTTTCTGGCTTTCTGCCCTAACTAAGATATCATCGTCATGATAAAAAAACAAAACGAATTCCACTAGTACCATTCAAATACACCCTCTGCTCCTAAATATAAGACGCTTTGGCAGTTCAATTTAAACTGTCAAAACGTCTTACATTTAGAAGCAGAGGTACTAGTAGAAGTTAAGGCTTGACAGTCTGCTCAAACAAAAGTATTTAGAAAGAAAACAGCAGATCTATTTTGGGGCATAAAATAGGAGCATATTCTTTCATGATTTCATCAGGCACGACAGCACAATAATCAACCAAATTTTCTAACTGCCAGTGCAAGTCTTGCAATATACTACACCCTCTGTTCCTAAATATAAGAAATTAAACTGCCAAAACATCTTATATTTTTTAAACTGCCAAAACGTCTTACATTTAGGAATATAGGTAGTACTTCTTAGTCACAACTTTAATTCGAATAGCTGCTCAACAGAGCATGTACACTATTCCTTATCCCAATCAGAGATGCATAGCAACAAGTTACCTGTTGCTAAATTTCTTAACATGGTCACTGTAAATACGTATTGAAATTTGGCACCACATAGCAAAAAGTTACCTGCTGCTAAATTTCTTAACATGGTCACTGTAAATACGTATTGAAATTTGGCACCACATAGCAAAAAGTTACCTGTTGCTAAACTTCTCAACAGCTGTAGATGCATAGAGAAGTGTTTCGCCACCCTTCTCTATAGCCATATAGAGTTCTTTTCCTCGGGAAATTTTAGCAATAATCCATGCATTATTTTTTGCTCTGATGCATACTTCATAATCCTTGTCATGGGTAGGGTCACTCCTCTTAGCTCTTGACTTCTCTAGATCTATTTCTCCTCTTAGCCTGTTGAGGGCAAGTAGAGAATCCTGCAAACATTCATATAAAGGCAATTCAACAAATATGATAAGAGAAACCGTTATCTTGTTATTTGATTTATAAAATTTGCAGTGGGGTTTTTACCCTACTGTTTATATAAAAAAGACCAGACAACCTTGAAAAAATAAGCAAGTTCGCACCTACTAATATGCAGAAATGTAGCTGGAGCTAACTCTAATTACTCTAGGCCTAATAGATAGTACTCTGAATTCTGGTGCTTTATTGATCGTGGGAGAAGCCCAATATATAGGACGAATAGCTTGGCTGACAAGCCAACTCAAAGAAATACAATCTGGACTCTGAAACAGATTCTAATCTGGACTGTGCACCTAATACAAATCTGAACCTAATAAATAAACTGTAGCAGTAAACGAATCCTAACAACTTTGGGCTGGACCAGAGGGTGGTGCAGCCAGTACTAGGGCCCTCCAACCATATGTGGTTCCCCACATAACATCTCTCCCTGCCTCCACAAACAGCTCGTCCTCGAGCTGAAACGAGCAAATGAACTCATCTGACGGCTCCCGTGTTGCATCATCTTCAGAAGCCCCAACCAACTGCACAAGGATGTTGCACGTAGGGGCATGGCCGTACGGCACCGGGCATGGTGTCAGGTAGAAGCCAGATGCAGTGGTCACAAGAGCGCACTGGAGGCAGCATGGTCAGAGTGGTGAAGAGGTCAGCAAACTCGTCGAGCATGTCACCCGTGAGGCCAGAGACTTCGCTCATGATCGTGCAGACAACAAGCAAGGCTGGCGGCGCCAGTTCGGTCCATGTGACTTGGGAGACGGCAATGACAACAGTTACGTTGTGGCAATTGAAATCCCACAAATTAATCTGAGGGAATAAAGCCAGTCAAAGTCGCCAAGTGGAAGCACGAAGCAGTCGATCGCGGATCCAGAAGCAGTCAATCCACGATATAGGCCGACGCTAGCGACTTTGTCCCCGTTACGAGACTCTGGAGTTAGGACGAGGGCATCAAGCGCGGTTGAGTCGATGAAACTGTGTGCCGGATCTGTGTCCAGTAAGGCAATGAAGGTACGAGTGTCGATGGTGACGCGCAGTTGTATGGTGTCAGTCACGCGGATATTCCAGAGCCCAGTGATAGCGTGAAGCAAGATGTGTGGTGTCTCTGGTTCATCCTCCAGAGGTGCATCTTGGGGCGCAAAGTCCTCAAGCTCGATGAAGAACAAGCATGTGCACCAATGACCTGGGACGTACTATTCGTCGCAGTTGTAGCAGAGGCCCTGACGGGCGGTGTTCTACCATCTCGGTGGGCGTGAGGCGGCGTGTAGCACAAGGAGCCGATGTAAGGGCAGCAGCTGCCGCAGGTATGCCTTGTGGCGCGCCGTGCAGCAGGCAGCAAGGTCAGCCCACACGCCCAAGCCATCAAACGAGATGTGTCGAGGGCATCGGTGTTGGGACAGATAGTGTTGTTCATATGCCTTAGCGAGGGAGACTGCCGTGTGGAGGACCACCAGTTGCTGAAGCTCGACAACAACGTTGAGGACCTCCAGGAGCACGGCTGTGTACAGGAAACGCTATTGGCTGAACAGCCTGAGCTTAATGGCTCGCTGGTCCTGCACAGCATCACCATAAATCTGCTGGTGTAGTCTGCAACGGTGGAGGTGAGACGGAAGCCAAGCAAACTCGCCTAGGGGAGTGACACATGCAGACGGCCCAAATTGAAGGTGACACACCTCCTTGAACTGCTGCCATGAGGGAATGCCAAGATCGCACTCAAACTAGAGGTACCAGAACTGACCATTGTCGACTAAGTGGTATGCCGCTGTCCACACCTAGTTATCCTCTGTGCATTAACCCCGAAAGAATTGCTCACACCAATGAAGCCAACCCAGAGGATCGATGCAACCATCTTAAGTTGGAAAGTCAAGCTTGTGGATG